GTAATAGCAGTCATACCAGTATGACTGGCAGGTTATATGGCATCTGTGCAATGTTGAAGTTACACAGAGAAATCCAAACTAACAACTGGGCATACAAACACTAGATAAGTTCTTGTGGCTATGTAAATCTATTGAAATTAGATAACAAGAAGTCCATTTGGAAAGACCCAAGTAGAGAGGTAGCTGGATCTTTGACAATGCTACTATAAAGGCTAGCCTGGAGAAACAGATACTCAGGTCTTAGTAACTGAACAGACAAAAACCTCTAGGCTGAGAGTCTCAAAGGTACTACCAACTAGGCCACCAGATCGAACTAAAGAAAAAGGATATTGGGCTAATCTAATATATCAATAGACTGGTTATAGTTCTATATGAGCCATCTGAATTGGGAGTCTGATGAAATTCAGAGGTATACTAAAGTACTGGAGTTATACTGTAAAGTAGATGTTGAAGTCTAAGTGAACTCTACAAGGGCATAGTGGTTTAATGGTTAAGCCCTGACCACAAGTGTTAATTCTGCTATAGCAATATCTAGGTCAGCTGTAAAAATGAATATAGAAGACTCTGAAAGGTTTACCTCAAGAATAAATTAGTCCTAAGATTGAGACAATGATCTGAGCATCTGGGTATGACCTAGTGAGTTAATACAGATTATAGGTTTAGAGGGTTTAAAGTGAAACATCCAAGCAAAAGTGTTAGATATAGCAATTGGTAAAAAACCTTCAGATGGACTTCTTAAATAGGTAATATAGAAAAGTTACACATATAGCCAATTGTACTCTCTCCTGTAGTAGTTTATTGAATCACATTTCCAATAAGTCATTAATAAAAGTTAAAAGACCAAAGAGGTAAAAATAAAATAATAATAAATAACTTTTGTCATACACTATACATCATATATTTATCAATTTTTATATTTATTTTTTAGCAGTAAAGTAATAAATGCAGCTGTATCCTATTGAATGAATTGCATTCAAATTAATGATATTAAATTTATTTGGTACTTTACATGACAATCTTTAGCTTTAATAAATGCATTTATTCTATCATCTAAACTATTGATATGTTTCTGCAAGAATATTTTGCTATTATTCTAGAAGAATGCATTTTAATTCTCTTAAATTTGCAAGTAAAGGTTTTCTGCTATTAACAAGTCAGTTGAGAATGTTCCAAAGATGTTCTACATGATTACAATCAGAACTTTTGCAGACAATTCCATATATAAAAATTTATATAAAAATGTTAGTTTATCATGATTTAGATTTTTTTTGGAGCTTCATAAATTTGTAAAAGTATAAAACCTAATAATTTATTAAGTCTCAAACTTATTTTATTTCTATGCTTTTATTTAACTTGTATTAAATAAATATTTTATTATATATCAACAGAAGGAACTATCATATAATATCAATGGATCCTCTTACAAATAAATAGACTGAGAAAAATAATATAAATAGTCAAAGTGAACTAATTTACTAAATCTTTTAAAGCTAGTATATATGCCAAAAATATTAATACCAGAAAATAATCTAGTTGTTATATGTCTTTTAATGTTATATAAATTAAACATTAAGAATATTTAGTATTAAAAATTAAAAAAAAATTGCTTCTATAAAAATTCCAGTGATTTTTTGTTTGGCACTGTATGTTAGTATTGATTGAACATCAGCTATTGCTATAACAAAATATTTTTTTTAAAAAAAAGTGTATCAGAACAGGGGTATCTTATTTTGTTCCTAAGAAACATAGTACTTCTACCTTTGAAGTTTGCAAACACAAGAAAATTAAGACTACTAACTACTCTAATATGGAACAACTTACTGCATACAACAAAAAGGCTCTTACTCTAAAGAGGAAATTACAACAGCAAACAGTTACCCAACAGCTTTAGCAGTTTCTGCACAACAAAACATTAATGATAACAACACACTTAGTTGGAATGAACAAGTCTCTTTAAAGAACATAGAAGGTCTTTCTGAAAAAAGAAAAGACCAAAACAATGAACTGGATGCATCTATTTTTGAGACATATAATGAAGAACCCAACAATAATGAAAACTCAGTTTCAACAACAACAACACATGTAAACTCATATGAGAAACCACTAACTAAACCAAGCTTACCTAAAGTAAACAAAATTAAAGAAACTACAAACAAATCTTAGATGAGTCTCTTTGCTAAAGTTAAAAGAGGACAGTCAATCTTTTCTTTTTTCTCACCAAGAAATAATATAAAATCAAGAAATGATAATGCTTTTATCATAGATATCCAATATTCAACAGGCTCACTAAACGAAATTATGGTCTCACTTTATGAAACTGCAAGGTATGACATAATAGCAGCTAAGCCACATATGAATAAGGATGCATGTACTCATTTAGAATTAGTATTCTCAAACAAGAAAAAACTGAAGCTTTATGTTTCTAAAAAAATACAAATCTTTGACAGAACATACTATGGCTACATTTCTTCTGATGCAAGAAGATCCTTTCTCTCAATCAAAATCAGAAGTGTTCTATTAGGTGATAAAGACCTTATCTTAGAAGAAATCAGAGAAACCTTCAATAATATAGGCAAAATTGTTTTTAATTGAGAGTACACCATATTTAACAGATCAATGGATTATTACATTTGAAACTACTAATGATCCAAAACTAGAAGAAAGAATTCTATAATTCTATATTCTTATGAATAACAAAATCACTACAGAATGATGCTCAGCTCTAAAACTCTGCTTCTTCTGTGATGAAAAAGAACATATTAAAAAGGAATGTTCTCAATACTTGCAAGCAGTAAAACTCTGGCTACAATATAAAGAGTTTAATGCAAATAAGAAAAAAAGCAGAACTGCTTCTTTTGAAAAAGTAAAAGTAAGCTCCAAAACACAAGAACAGAAGGTTCTTACAGAAGACCTAAACATAGATATGAATCAAGCTGAAGAAACTTCTTTAGTCAATTTAGAAGAAACAACTAATTCTAAAAAAATGGAAAATAAGATTATAGAAAATCTGGCAACAATGAAAGAAGATCTAGAAGTTTCTTATAATGAAACTCTTAGTGATATCAATAAAGAAAACCTTCCTATTGACAATATTTCCAGTACCATGATTACAGAAACAGAAAAACCTCAAGCTTTGAACTTCCCTTTAGTTTTAATTGCAAATGATATTAATTTGCAATCTTATTACAACAATGCTGAGGAGAAGTTTACAGTTGTCTCATATAAAAGAAAAAAAGATAAGAAAACTTCTACAAAACAAAAGGCCAAACCAATCAGAAAGGCTCCATACAGAAATCACCATAATGGAGTACAGAACTTCCAGATCTAAATCTGTGCTATACTTAATTTTTTTCATGACCAATCACATCAGATTTAAAATGGCAACCCTTAATGTAAAAGGGTTAAATAATCAACAAAAACAGCAGAACACTTTAACTCTTCTAAAATCATATAAATTAGACCTAATTATGCTACAAAAAACAAATCTAAATGACAAAAATACACAAAACTTTCTTAAAAATCAATGGATGTTTGACTCTATCTGGACAAACAAAACAGCTATACTTGCAGGCAACAAAGATATAATCTTTAAAAACATAGAATTGGATCTAAATAACAGAATAATCAATACTAATTTCAAGTACAAAGACCTCACATTTCAAGTTTCCAACATATACACTCCACCTAGCCCAGGTGACAGAAAGCTTTTTTTCAAAAAGTGGTCTTCTCAAATTAAAGAAAATGCTATTAATATTATCAGAGGTGACTTCAATACTAATCTCTATTCAGAAAGGGATAGAATTAGTAAGGCAGCCTCACAATGTGACAACACAAAAGCACAACTTCAAGATCTTATAAAAAATTTTTTATACTCTTCTAACTTTGCAAAGATAAAACCATTTTATACCTTCTTCCAAAAAACTCAAGGCAATCACACTATGGCTACACATTTAGACTATATTTTTGTCAATGAAAACAATGCTTATTTAATCTTAGAAGTTAATACAAAATTTGGAAACTCAGACCATCTGTTGGTTGAGTGCATTCTTATCTTCAATCCTAAAGGAAAAGAATCTGCTCTCTGAAGGTTTGATAAAAACTGCTTTAAAAATGAAAGACTAAAAAAAGAGATACTAGAAGAAATCTCAGAATTAGAAAATGTAAAAGATTGGGACTTTCACAAAGTACACATACAATCCATCATTAGAGCCTTTAGAAAACCAAGTGTGGTAGAAAACAAAATTACAAAACTAAACAAAAACATTACTCAACTAAAAAAAAGATTAGCATATAATCCTGAAAACAATTACTTATATTCACAAATTGATATGCTAAACTCAGACCTTCAAGAAGAGCTTTCTCAGTTTGCTGAAAAATGGCAAACTCACTCTAAAGCTCAATGGATTGAACAAAAGGAAAAATCTACAAAATACTTTTTTGCCAGATATAAAACAAGAAAAACATGCTTAGTACTAAAAAACATTAAGGATTCTAAAGCTTTGCAACAAACAAGAGAAAATACACTTTGCTATATAAGAGAAAAATATGCAGAAATCTATAAAAAAGAGGATATAGATATCAACTTGGCAGAAAAAATTACTAAAAACTTGCCACAAGTCTCTCTCACATACAACTTGACTCTTATACATGAAATTACACAAGAAGAAATCAGCAATATTATTAGAAATCTTCCAAACAATAAAGCTTTTCACACAGACAGACTAACATACAAGTTTTATAAACTTACTAAAGAAACAATAACATCAGTTCTTTATAGTGTTTTTAATCATGCTCTCAGTTTAGGAGTTATGCCAACCTCATGGTATAAAAGTCTAATCTTACTAATACCTAAAAAAGCAGAAAATCTTGAAGATAAAAAACTCTTTCTGGTTCACATCTGGAAACATAGAAAAAACAAAATTAATACACACAACACAACAGTTTACTTCAAAAACTTCAGTGGGCCCAAGGTTCTGATACCCAAAAAGTGAAAACTAACTATGAACAGAACACAACACAAAAAGCCTAGAACAGATTACAGCAAAGAAAGAGTCTTTAGCTTTGCAAAAGCAGAAAATAATCAAAGCGAAACTACTAAAAATGACAGTCAGAAAAAAAACACAATGAACAAACTTAACAGCATGTCAGAATTAAAAGCTGAGGAACATATAGCAGGCTGGGCCAGTCACATAGAAAAAAAAATAGAAATAGAAGCCAAAGATAGTATCAAAACTGCAGAAACTTCAAGCTGACAAAAAAACAAGCAACTATCAATATCAAAAGTAGCAAAAAAATTCAACAATAAACAGGACAACAAATATGCAACAGAGAAAAACAAACAAAAACATGAAAATGTCAGTAGCAACAAACATATGTTGAGCAACAACAAACAAGAACACATGAATACAGAGAATGTTATGCCACATGAACAAAACAGTGTTGACCAATCATCAAACACAACAATAAATGAACAGGTTAGCCAACCTAAAAAGGAATTAGATACAAGTGTAAAAGAAACACAAAATAGAGGCACAAGACCAAAGCAATGGACTGATCTATTTACAAAGTTTAAAGGAGGAAGAGCAACTTTCAAACTCATCACCCAGATATCGTATTTACTCAAAAAATGAAAATGCACTAATAGTAAACATATCTAGTCTCAATAATATATCTACTAATGATATCATCATAGTGCTTACTGCTAGTCTGGAAGAAGACTTAGTAGCAGCCAAAGTACATACATCAAGAGGCAAAAGAACATCTCTAGAAATGATTTTTAAAGACAAAGAGAGAGTACAACACTATGCGACAGAAAGCATTTCACTTTTCAAGCAAACTTTGCTTGAATATATTCCAGTAAATCTAAATCGCTTCTTTCTTACAATCAAACTCAGAAACACTCCAATGGGCAATGCTAAGCACATTAGCAACAATATTCTAGAAGCATTTCAAGATGTCAGCCAGGTTGTATCAATTAAATCTCTGTTTTATGAAGGCACTACAGTATGCTTAGATTAGTGGTTGGTGACCTTCGTAACTACAGATAACTCAGACCTAACAAGAAGAATTCTCAGAAGCACACATATTGGTAACCATAAAGTTACAACAGAATGGAAAGAAGCTCCAAAAGTCTGCTTCTTCTGTGAAAAAGAAGGACACTTTAAAAGAGACTGTAAAGAGCTAAAAGAATCAATAGAAGCAAGACGAAGACTAAAAGAAGCAAGATGAAGACTAAAAGAAGCAAGAGAGCAAAGAGAAAGAGCCAAACTTCAAAAAACTGTACAGGATGAAATAACCATAAGCCCAAACAACCCCTATATGGAGGGACCAAAAGAAAAGGTTGCTCAAGAACTAACAAAATCAGAACCAACTTTTAGCACAAACAATCCATATGCTAAAAAACCAGAAGAAAATACACAAGCAAATGAGGAACAAGATAAATTAATGCCAATTTCTGAACACCCCTCAGACACAGAAGAAGAAATGTCAATGGAATCAGAAACTGAGCAGCTAAACAATTCCACAAAGAAAGATGAAACTTCAAACACCAACTGGAAAACAGAAGCACTTAACAGCACAACAGCTCATTACCTACTTGAAAAAAGTCTCAAAGAAACTCTATTTACAACAGTTACTTATAGAAAGCAAAAGAAAAACAAAAAGGAACAAATAAGAAAAGGACACACTTACAAGGGGCAATAGGCTCGCAAAGCCAATTGCCAGTCAGAAATCGACCTTAAGGCACTCAAGCCTGGTGTAGCACCTATCTTTAACATATAATATAATGATCAAAATTGCTACACTGAATGTCAAAGGCCTAAACAATAGGTCCAAAGCACAAAAAACACTTATGCTTATAAAATTATATAACTTAGATCTAATACTAATTTAAGAAACAAACCTTAAAGACACAGACACAAGAAACTTTCTAGTGAAGCAATGGGGCTATGATTCATTCTGGACCTCAAAAACAGCTATATTAGCAGAAAAAAGAGATATCAAACTTACAAACATTAAAGAAACCCTGGAGGGCTGAGTAATTACTGCCAAAACCAAAATTAAACAACAACCATTTCTAATTACAAACATCTACACCCCTCCAAATTTAGAATACAGAGTCTCTTTCTTTAGAAAATAGACACCAATTAAAGATGAAGAAAGCATCTGCATCATAGCAGGAGACCTTAACACTAATCTTGATCCTGAGAAAAACAGAATAAGCCAAGCTGCACCACAAAATGACCACTTAAGGCAAATAGTCAAAAACCTTATGGCTGACTATACAGACACAGCTATTTGCACAAATGATGAGCAATTTTTTATATTCTACCAAACAACACAAGGTGGCCAAAGAATGACAACCAGACTAGACTACATCTTCATTGAAGCAAACTACAGCCACTAGTGTCAAAAAATTCATACCCAATTTGGCAACTCAGATCATTTACTAGTAGAATGTGAGTTTAGTCTCAAAAGCAGCCAAGATCACAAATCAATATGGAGATTCAACAGAAAAAGCTGGAAAATCCCAGAACAAAAACAGACATTATACAAGAACTACAAAATATTTAAGACCCTAAAAACTGGGACTTACATAAGTGCATAATTCAATCAATAATTAGAGCTTACAAACTACACCCCTTACCAGAAAAAAAAATACAAAAAATACATAGGAGAATATGCACTCTAAACAACAAGATTGCAAAAAACCCAAACCTAGAAGAACTAAAACTAGTAATCAAAAGACACAACATCGAACTTCAAGAAGAATTAAGTTCATTATCAAACAAATGGCAAACAAGATCTAATACCAAATGGATAGAAGAAGGTGAAAAATCCACTAAATACTTCTACTTCCTATACAAAACAAAACATTCAACATCTTGCAGCACCAAGATTAAAATCCCCAACAGTCAAAATGATACATCACAGGAACAAATTCTGGACTATATAAAAAAATCTTATCAGAAGATCTACAAAGAAGAAACATTTGACAAATTAGCAGCTTCACAAATCACTAATAACTTAATTAAAATCTCTACACTACAAAACACACTACTTGAAAGGCCAATAACAGAAGAGGAAGTTAGTCAGATTATTGAGAAGCTTCCAAACAATAAGGCCCCAGGA